GGAAGCGAGGAAGCAGGTGAAACAGCAGAGAAGCTGTCGACTCTGAACAGGAAGTGGCGCGCCTTACAGCAGAAGGCCAGAGACCGACAGACGGAACTAGAAGATGCACTTAGGGAGGCACAGAGGTATGTTACTGAAAAAGTTTATGTGTAGAGTTATTTACTCTTTGAAGTTATAACCTATTTTTTGTCATAGAGTATGCAACTAAGGTGATATTTTACCAAAGATTTAACAACATATAGATATAAAACATGTTTATTTTTAGCTTCAACGCGGAGATCGGAGACTTGCTGTCATGGCTGTCGGAAGTAGACTCAGTGATCGCTGCTTCGAAACCAGTAGGAGGACTTCCGGAAACCGCCACAGAACAACTAGACAGGTTTATGGTAAGGAATTACTTCAAAATATAGTCGTGCTAGTGTAAAAGGGGTTTAATATTTTACATGCACACTTTTTGTAGGAGGTATACAATGAGATCGAGGCCAACCGTCCCAAGATGGAGGCGGTTCTGCAGCAGGGTCAGGAGTATCTGAAGCGGCAGCAGAAGCCCAGCCCCACCTCGCAGCTGCACCACAACCTGAAGAACTTGAAGTCCAGATGGGATAATGTCACCTCCAGGTATTATATCTAAACATATTATTTAAGAATATAGCACTAGGCATTGCGGAAGCGCAATGACCTTGAATCGACATTGAAATGACCCAAAAACTCAAAAATATTGTATAAATTGTTAGTACTAAAGAATAAAATATTTTTATATAGTATAAAAAGAAAAATATAAGAATATATCTAGTATTATTTTGTGCAGTACCGGCTTTAGCACTACTAGCGATCTGTGCGAGGTTCTACGGTACCTCCTTTTTTACTAGCTTTGGGATAAACAGTGTTATGTGAGCCTAACCTTGGGCGCCCTTGAATTGGACATTTCTGACTGTATCTTTATTTCCAGGGCCTCTGACAAGAAGATCAAGTTAGAGATAGCTCTGAAGGAGGCGACGGAGTTCCATGATGCGCTGCAGTCGTTCGTGGACTGGCTGACCAGCGCCGAGAAGACCCTCACCTCAGCTAAACCTGTCTCCAGGGTTATGGAGTCGTTGCTCAGTAAGTTCTTATAAAAATATTAAAAAACGACTGACGATACCTTTAAAATTCCGAGAAAGTACAAATCCAAATGCAAATTAGCTAAAAAAATCAAAAACAATTCAAACTCATAGTTTTTATCTTGCGAAAGATACGCAGTACGTTATTTGGCTGAAAACTAGCTCTGCCTTCAATTACAAGTTGGAGGCCGCTTCAACAGAGTCTCCGTTTAACCAAGAACTGTTTTTGTATTTATACTATTTAAGAAATATTTCTTGCTAATTTTGTTTGTTGTTTTTTTGTTAATTAATAGTACCTAATTTTATTAATTTTTCTTTCCAGCACAAATCGAGGAGCATAAAGCGTTCCAGAAGGAGGTAGCTACGCACCGCGAGACGATGCTGCAACTGGACAAGAAGGGCACACACCTGAAGTACTTCAGCCAGAAGCAGGATGTGATCCTCATCAAGAACCTGCTGGTGTCGGTGCAGCACCGCTGGGAGCGCGTGGTGGCGAAGGCGGCGGAGAGAACACGCGCACTCGACCACGGCTTCAAAGAGGCTAAGGAATTCAGCGATATGTGGTATGTCAATAGATGGCGCTGATGATAATTTACAGAAAGTTTGATATTTTGCTCAATAGATGGCGTTGAGAATTAAAAGAAATTATATGTTTCGAAATATTCATGTAAATATGTAACGTATGTCTTTAGACTTTAAAGTACTAAATAATGTAATGTTATTTTATTTGTTAAGGAACAACTTGATGTCCTGGCTGTCAGAGACTGAACAACAACTGGACCAACTCAACTCTGAAGCAAATGTCAACGACCCTGATAAGATCAAACAGAGGTATTTCTGATTTTTCACTGTTTTTGTGTATTATCTCTTTTCTTCTTTATGAAATAAATAGGGATAGTTATATAATAATAAAATGTATGAATATGTTCGAAGAAAGTGATGGTTCACCTAATCTACCTTAAGAAGTGTCTTATATGGTTTTGTATTGAAGATTTAACAGTAAGACATTCACGGCAATTTGAACTATATTTCCTTTGGAATAGAAACTGCTTTTGTCCGATTACAACTATGACGTCATATAATATATTTTTAAATTACTATAAGATTAGTTAATATTTAAATTTCCCTTCAGGTTGAACAAACATCGGGAGTTCCAAAAGGCGTTGGCAGGCAAGCAGCCGGCGTACGACCTGACCACCAAGACCGGGAAGACGCTAAAGGATAAAGCGCCCAAAACTGATGAGACCACGCTGAGGACCATGCTCGCGGACCTCAAGACCAAGTGGACCACCGTCTGCTCCAAGGCCGTTGACAGGTATAATATCTTATCATACTTCATACTAATATTATAAATGTGAAAGTTTAGATGGATGGATGGATGTTTGTTAGAGTTTGTAGCTGCTTAACGGATCTCAGTTAAATTTGGCATACATCTAGAGGATAATCTGGAAGAAAACATAGGCTACTTGGTATTTTTTTTAATACAATGCGGACAGAGTCGCGGGCGAAAGCTAGTGTTTCGTATATTCATATTACGTTTCTTTTATATTCAATTTTACTTCATACTCACCTACTTAATATTAAAATGCAAAGTTTGGATGAATGAATATTTTTTACCTGATAACTATGATATATAGGTTATTTACTAATATAATTTCTGCGTGGACAAAGTCACGGACAAAAGCTATATATATTTATCTATACTTTTTGTATAGACAACGTCGTCTAGAAGAAGCTTTGCTGTACTCGGGCCAGTTCAAGGAAGCGATGTCAGCGCTGCTGGACTGGCTTAAGAAGAGGGAGAAGCTGTTGGCAGGAGACGCGCCAGTGCACGGAGACCTTGATACTGTCATGGCACTCATTGAACAGCACAAGGTATCTTAATATTATAAATGCTTTAAATGGATGGATGGATGGATGTTACTATTTCTACAAAGCTCAACGGATCTCTTTGACATTTGTCACAAATGTAGTACAAAGTCTGGTATGGAGTTTTTTTTTATATTAGGAAGATTTCTAAAAACTTCAACTTTTAACAGGATTTATCAATTGTGCCTATTCCATTTCCAAATAAAAACTAGTAATACATTCCAAATTTGCTTCTTACTTGTGTTGTGTGCTCGTTTTTCTAAGTGTCCGTTCGTAGTGTGCCTAGTCCATTTCTCTATTATCAAAGATTTAGTTTCTATGTAAAAATATTAGAATTATTATATTCCGAATAAAACTAGGATTGCTAACTAAGAAATATACGATTAAAAGACGCCATCAAAAACTAACTCAATTTTTTTTTTCAGCAATTTGAAGAAGATTTACATTCGCGAGAACAACAAATGCAATCAGTCATGAAGACAGGCAAAGATTTAGAGGCCACGGTAAATATCAACCTTATTTCTTAAGCGATTAGTTTTAAATTCCCTTATCGTAATGTAT